ATCCATCCATCCATCCATCCATCCATCCATCCATCCATCCATCCATCCATCCATCCATCCATCCATCCATCCATCCATCCATCCATCCATTGTTTATACATGTGCAGGGGTCAGGGGGGATTGGTGCTCCAGGTGTCACTGGGTAAGAAAAAAGTTACAGCCACTGTAATCTGTAGAATTTATTAAGGAAATGTGAGTTTCTGTTTCCTGTTTTACCAAATAAAATGGACTCAAACTCTTATATTTGTCCATCATGGATCCTTAAATCAGTGAATGTGGATCTGATGTGTTGTACAATAAATACTATAGTCTCCCTTCATATTAAGTAGAAAGCAACCCACAAAAAGTTGATTATAAATCAAATTAGTTGCTAACAGAGAACACCCCACAGGTGGGTTTTCTCTGTGTCCCAAAAGAATTTATCTTAAAAGTTCTGCATCCTTCTTCAAGGGTCACTCAAACCCGGTGTGTGAAATGAGAGTTGCCTGGGTGTGACTTTTACCAGAATGGATCCACTTGCTATTGTCTCCCCAGTCAACTTCTGCAGGCCCCAGTGCCCTGACTTCCATACATGAGAGATCAAGGGTTACCAAGGTGCTTTTGAGAAAGGAGGGCTCAGTGTGAGTGGGGACAAACTGGTCCACAAAATACTCATTTCCTTTGCATGTTAGATGTCTTAGTGGGGCTTCAAACAGGGGCACTGACACTGTTTTCCCCCTTCCTTCGTTGTTCTTAATGAAACTGTTGCTTGCCTTTTCAACAGCTTGAACCCCTACAGTATCTGCCGCCTGTACAGTATACAGCTTGATAATACAAGTATGCCCAAAAGAAAGTTTGTGAAGACTGGCTGTTTTTCCAGCAGCACCAGACAGAGGCACCTTGTGTAGAAAAGGTAAAAGTAGTTTTGTCCACCTCTCATTCTTGCAATAAAAAAAAAAAAAGTTCAGCCACTGAGCCCCGGCATTAACTTGTATTCTAACAAGATTAAAATATATTCGTCCTGGGGATTAGCATAGTTAGGTGTCCTTTTGCCTCTTTTTTTTTTTCCTGCACTGGTGCGTTGACAGTGGGCTTTGATCTGTGTTGCGAGGCAAGAGTCCTGGCTTGGACCTAGCCATTCGAGTGCCAAGTGTGAAATTGGCCTGATGTCATCCCTATTCTTCACCTTTTACATCTTTCACCACTTTAATTATGTTTCCGCCACAAAGCCTGGGCACCTCAGAGCAGATTCCTCTCTGGCCATAGGAAGCATTCACAAACTGTGGGTAAATGACACAGTAGGGGAGGAGGAGGATGGTAGGAGAGGTCATAGCAGGATGGGGCCCTTTTGTGTGCAGAGATACATACACTGATACTTTACTTGATGCATCCTACTCTCACTTCAGAAAATGTAGGTTTCTCTACTTTTTCTTAATTCAGGCGAGGCATGGAACTGTTGTAGACACTATACACCCAAATTTTTAAAAGCTTATGGTTTTAAACCTTCAAATAAGTTATGTTGTACAATTATCATGGTTTAAAGTGACACATTGATGAGTTTTTTGGAGCCTAGAATAAAACAGCTGAAACTCCCACTTGGTGTGGTGCACAGCTGGTCAAAAGAGGCTACTACATGTTAGCTTGTGTACAATAATAAAAAATAAATAAAAAATCCCAATATATTGTTTGGGTTTAGAATTGAAAGAAATGGAAACTGTTACTGCTGGAGTTGAACTACATTCTGCTAAGCAGCAGAAAGCAGGCGACCTGAGCAGACAGCTTGACCATTAAACTAACACACTTTTGCTGGATGTAATTCTGCTACTCTTTTAAGAAGAGAATGGAAAGAAAAAAGGGAAATTTTCCAAGTAATGAGCTCTTGGAAACTACTCCTACATCAGCGTGTATTTTATCAGATGCTTTATATAAAGTTTATTGGATAGTGACATTAGCTTTTTTGTAAATATTGTAATACAATGCAGGTTTTTTAAAACCATTCTTTTTTATGGAGTATTCTCTTGCATCATAAAAAAAGATTTTTCGCTGTTAAAATATCAAACCAGTATTGGTTGAGATTTTGTTAAAATAGAAACAGATATTTAATATAAGAAAGGGTGGTGCATCACCTTTGATTTTCTGCATGCAGTGGTGGGTTTTTATACATACTATATGATTTACATCCCAGGGCAGCAGGGCAGAGGGGTTGGAACAAGTGATTTTTTAAAAACACCATTAGTAATAAACTTTTCTTATGCTTCAAACTCCAAGATTAAACTGATTTTTGTGGGTATAGTTAATGCAAAAACGCCACTCTCTGCAAGTCCAGGCTGGCATCAGATTGGTACAGTTCTAGAATCGGAAAATAAAGACAAACTTTTATGGATTTACATTAAAAGCAAAAAAAAAAACTAAAAGGAACATCATGTAACAATATTTTCAAAAACTAAAATTTCATAATAATTCCTAAAATACTGCCAAAAGAACAAATTGTTTTAACTATCTAAGGAAATTTCTTCCCAGCGTTTTTGTTATGTTCATTGCCTGCTTGTTGTTTTTTTTTTCTCTACAGCTTAATTTGTCTTTGTTATAATTAAGTTACTGTTGCATTTTTTTTTGTGCTTTTTTTGTGCTTTCAGACACTAAAAAGTGGTTTCTGTATAGGGACGTAGAAAACTAAAAGGAATTTCAGCCATAGGGATGGTAATAGGTGTTTTGCGGTAACAGTAATAAACTCTCACTTTATCAGTAATAAGCCTATGCCTAATCCCACTAAGTAAAACATGTATAAAACTCTGAAGTACTTACCAGTAAGTATGGCAGTGTAAAAATCTATTAAACAGCGTTGACTTAAACTAATTTAATAGTTTTTAACTTCTTTAATTTCATATTAGATGACTTTATATGTTCTGTACAGAGTATGTGGGTCAAACAGGAAGAAACACTTCCTGTCCTAATTTTTTCTGTGAATAATTACTTGCCTTTCTGTAGATAACCGCCAAGTACAAATGTGAAGCAGCTTGAAAGTATCATTAAATAACCCCCCACCCCCGCCCCACCCACCACTACCAGCCACAACAAAGGTAACTTTACATTAGCTTTTACTTTTAGAATCAATACCGCTGAAATTGCAATATACGAAAACACCAGAAGCTACCTGCTGCAGGTAAAATAACTGTTTTTGACATAACCTCACTGGAGAATTCATGTCCTATTTTTAATCTAACAATTTTTTTTTTAATTTCATGAAGAATTTGCCCATGTTCCTTAACAGCTTTAGCTCCTACTCATACATTGGTGTCCCCATCTGAACTTCCTGCAGCTCCTGTTCCTGTGAACATCCAGATAAAGATTCCTATTGGTTGAATGAAGGATCAAAACAACAGTGGAGTGTGATTGTATGTGTGTGTGTGAGAGAGAGAGGGCTAAACAGAGAGGAGAAGCAGAAATTAATGCAGTCTGGGGAATGTGTGGGAGAATAAAATATAAAAAAAATACAGTGATTAATGTGTGTGAATACGCTTGTGTGTGCATGTGTGTAAGGCAGACTGAGTGTATAAGTTTAGAGAGTGTGAAAGCTGTGTGTGGAGAATGGGTTACTAAGAGAGGCGGAGGTGGGGTAGGGTGGAGGAAGGAGGGAAAGGGAGGGGGACAGCCACCTGCAGCCATGACGGGCTTTGACCTTCATTGCACTCTTTCCCCTCCCCCTCCACCCTCTCCCTCTCTCACCCTTTCTGCTCCTCATTTCTGCCTTGCGATAGAAATTCAGGCTCCTTTCAGAAGCGGCGAAGAAGACTGACCGTCTCGGAGACAGTGCTGGGAGCAGCCCCAACGCTAGTTGCTGGCCGTTAGACATGGCGTTCAAAGACTAGCGGTGCAAGAATGGAAATGCAGATAAGGCATCTTTTGGGAAACAGGCCTGGGAATTGTTCAAGGCTCTCACTTGTATGATATTATGATTATTTTTATTTATTCATTTAATCTGGAAAGTAATGAATGTGATCTTTCAATGATTTCATGGACATTTCCTATGTATATGAATGACTTTGTGAACATTATGGTTTTCCAGGTAATTCTGCCAAATAAAGACTGTATGTAAACATTTCAACACATGAACAAGAGAAGCCAGAGACCTGCTCATGTATAATCTCCAAGGTTTTATTTACTCTTCTTTTGCGGCTGTTCAGGAGGCAGTTAATTACACAATTAATACATGATACAAATTATGTACATATATACCAAGAATACTTCCAACATAAAATAAAAAATAGCATTGTATTCTACAACTCTGTGTTGTAATTTCATTTAAACATGTTCATATATAGATAGATATACGCTGATGAGTAAATTCATAATGTCGTACCAGCAGTTCTCATAAAGGCATTAAAACTTGAGCAAGTCTGCATTTGAAGTAACACTGCTTTTCTGATTCGGCACAGTTCTGTTTCAGGAAAAAAAAAGTTCCACTTGAACTTTTTAAGGCAAAGTGTGTTTCTGTTTGGTGGATTTTCTTTCTTTTTTTTTTAATTCATACACACTTTTTGCAGATGCACAACAAAAAGGAAAAAAAAAAACACATTGAAAAAGGCAAAAAAGTTCACAATTTGGTATGGATACAATCTGAAACTCGATCATACTTTTTTGTTGATATAGACCAAAGTTAAGAAACACAGTTGTTTTTGCCCAAAGTACAACAAATTGCAGCTTCCATGCAAAAAAGGCCCCATAAACTTTTTTTTTTCCATTCACAATGAAAAGAACAAAAAACAAAAAAAACAAACAAAAAGAAGTTATTGCAAGATAAACAAGCAGTGTAAACACCTCAGATATCTACTCTAAAGCAACACTGGTCATTGGATAGATTTTTTTTCTGAATATAATCTATATAAATACACATATGAAGTCCTTTCAACAACAATAAGAGATTTCCAACATTTGTATTACAGTCACTGATGGAGTTCCCTTCTTTTTATGATATATGTAATAAAAATGTAAATAGAGAAAGATTTACCAAGAACATCCAACAACCTGCATGTAAAAGTCTAAAGAGTGCGCAGAAATGGTTTTCATCATTGTCTTTATGCTACAGAGTTGTTTCTGTGACTCAAAAGGCAGCATTATAGCCTTTTTTTAGCTACAAAAAGGATTTATATTGCTATTTAAAACTATAATAGCTGCACTGATGCATTGGCATAAAATGAAGAGCGCACACACATTTGTTTAAAGGCTGAGACACGACCATAGTAATCATAAAAGCAAGGCCTATAGCTTTCTGTGTTGGTTAAAAAAAGAGAAATAAGTAAAACCTATTTGTACCCTGTCAATTCCAGTGGCGGTTTTTGAATTATGGTCATCTCCCCAGGGCAGCGTGGTCTAGGGGGGTGCCATGATAGAAAGAAGAGAGACAGAAAACAGCTTAAACTGAGGCAATGATGGAAACCACAGTGTGCTGCCTGGTCAATCCTAGGCTTTTTTTTGTTGTTGTTTTTTTATTTGAAGTGACTATCTCTGGTGAAGAAAAGAGATTTGCAGTGGAGATTCATCGGTCACTTTTTCCGATAGCACTTTTCCTTTGAGGTCTGAGTTGCTGATTAAGATTTGATGTATTTCAATTATTTTATGTAAAGGATTTAAAGCACATTAAAAAGACAAAACTATTTCGTGTGGGTTTGTTTTTAATAGACATATTTTTGATTCAAATAGAAAATTTTGAAATTAAAGAGTAACAATTTATGTATCATAGAATATATTGCTAACATTGAGATTTGATATTTGTCAAACCAAGATCAAAAGCTATCACCTTTATCAGAGCCAATCAAGGAAAAAAAATATGTTCTTATTAATAGCCTATAAATTGGTACCCTTTTGATTCTTTGTCTTATGAAAAATAATAGCAAAGAAATTGATAAGAGTTTGTTTTTTTGCAGAAAAGATTTTGGATGTGGATTTTTTTTTAATGCATGGGGTGGTCTAAGAAGGGGCTCGCCCAGGGTTCCATTTCTACAAGAACCGCCACTGGTCACTTCCAGCAAACTTCAGCAATATTAGGGGAGGGGATCAAAACTGAAAAATAAAGCAGTGCCCAATTAGCCCTAACAAATTTACCTATCCTTTTTTTACACGCAGAAAAACATCAACAACAAAAGAAAAAAAGAAAAGAAAAAAAAACAAGCGAGCATGGCATTAGAAAAACCTTGTTAGCATATTTAAATTCACAGTAGCCTGGATGCAGCAGAAAAATATTCTTTGGACTTCAGTTTTTCTTTTTTTTTTTTCCTTTTTCTTTTTATTAATTTTCCACTTTACTGACAGGTTAAAAACGTCAAGTGCCAGTTAGATAAAATGTAACGCGATGACAATCATGGATAGCAGTAATCCTTATACGGCTTATAAAAATGGAGAGTGTTTGTAGCCCCAGGAAGGGGGCGGGGACGAGAAAAACAATGAAAACGTACCTTTATACATCTTTTATAGACGTGATATTGCAGAAATATCTCTCTGTTTTTCTCTGTTTTTTGTTAAACAATTTATGCTGGTATAGGCTATACATTGGCCCTTTATTCGATCATTTTATTGCATTGTAGGCTTAATTATACCTCCCTTATAACGAAAAAATCACTATAATATTCCCATAGAAACCTACAGAGGCCTATGGTGGGGTTAGAAATAGGGACTCCTTTATGCGTAATGGTGTCTTGGAGGCATTGTGTACATCCATAGTGAGTGGTAGTTAAAGTATCTGCAGTGGTAGCATTAAATATTCCTGTAAGTAGAGTTTTAATCTCTATATAAATCTATCATAGGATTACTATAGGTTCCTTTTCGTCAGGAGGCTGCTGCTTCTCTGGGAATCAATCGCTGTCTGATTTCTCGTCCTTCGAAGTGACGGTGGCGTGATTGTACAGTCCCTGCGCCATCAGGTGCAAGGCCAGAGTGTTCTTGGTGCCGCTGGCCTTCTTGATCTTGGCTCTCTTGTTCTGGAACCAGATCTTGATCTGGGATTCGTTCAGACCGAGCTCCTGGGCCAGGTTCTGCCGCCTCTGCTCCGTCAGGTACCGGTTGGTCTGGAACTCCGACTTTAGTCTCTGCAGCTGCTCCGCTGTGAAGGCCGTCCGTGGTCGCTTGTCCTCTTTGCTGGTTGTTTTCTTCTTTGGTTTGCGAGATCTTGGCCCTGGGGGGAGAACACGTGCAATTGTTTGTTAGACATTTTTATTAATTGGTCATTTCGAAACAAAAACAAATCCCTTTAGGTCAAGTGACGCACATTAGGTACCAAATGATTAGTGATATTTCATGTGTTTTCTGTTTCACTGAGAGTCTAAACAAAGCCTATTTAAAATGTTTTATGATTCTCATGTAAAATCACGAATTTTACATGAGAATTACAATAAGACGTTTTTAGATGATTATTGACGATTGGACAATATTTAAGGGTGATATTTGAGCGTTTTAGTTGTATTTCAGAATCAGAAAATGTTTTATCACCATTGTTGATTAAAATACCTCACCATAAAGATTAACAAACAATATACAATGGTTTAAGTACACAATGGTTTGTTTACAAGTACGAAATCACCAAGTGTTGATATAAATAAAGGTGGGATTTGTCAAAATGGCGAAATGAGCTCGATCCATAGTTCAATCTTAAACCAAAACAGCTTCATGAACATCATTAAATGTTATTGTTATGTATTCCATCAAAAAACATAACTAAAACCCGAGTTTTATGTTATTCTTTCACTTTGCATGGGGGTAATTAACTCCAATGTAACCAAAACCCGTGTGCGTAAAGTACACTTTAAAACAAACGGTCACATTGTTCATATATCTATAACAGCCGACCAAAATAGGATGTAAACAAATGGATATCTTCGTGTGTGCTCTGTTTAGTTGGAGAGCCAAACATAAGCTAAAGTTTTGTCAGATAAAAAATTTAAATCGATATATTTCGCTATGAAAACTTGCAGAAAGGGGGCCCAAACCATAGTTTAAAAGCTGTCCCAGGGATCCAAACGCAGCCATGCCTCCCTGTTGCTGCTTTACAAACACAAACACAAGCACACACACACACACACACTCACTGAGCATAAACTGACACACTCTAGTCCATGGACACAAATATTAACAGATGACAGCAGGATTAGTGGGAAAAATGCGTGTTTTTGCTGTTCAATTTAGAGTTTGAATTCAATTCGGCGCTGCTACTTTGCCTCTCTGTGTTTCCCCTTTCACTTTTTTTGTGGGCCACTTGAAAAACTCCCTGGTGGACGGACGTGAACAGAATCTGGAATCTGAGAAACACACACAATCCTTTCCCATCTGGGAAGACGGAGCCCCCTCTTTCGAAACAGAGCGCAAAACATTAATAAAAGAAATGCACAATCAACTCTGAATCATGAAAACCTAAAGCATGAAAATCTAAACATCTCCAACTCGTAGTAATCGCCCACGGAACTCTATAGTATAGCTTTCCATAATGCATGAGAACAAGTTGTACTCCACTTTCCAGTGGGAAGTTAGAAATATATAACAACTAAACTCCCTTGCAGCGATAGTAGACAATACATGGAGCTTATGAGTTGGTTTATCACTACAACAAAGAAGCTCACTGCTGTTGCAAATTGGGCAGCGATTCTTATGAAACCATGCAGATTTGATATCATCCAAAACATATTAGTAAGGAAATGACTCTACAGGTGCACAAAATGTTAGTTTGAATGCATCCAAGCTCCCTTAATGAGACAGCTCATCGCACTTGTATTTACTCGAAATAAATTGATTATACACACAAAATTGCACTAAGGTACCAGGAGAAATCCTGTGCGTAAAGTAACCGTAATGTGCCACTATTAATTATTTTGTAGTGGGGAAAAAATGCTGTCGATCAGCATTAAATATTTCGTTTCTATTGTTCATGTTTTGTAAAGGCCTGCTCTTCTACTCCTTGTTCGAAAATAATAGTTTGATAATAGTGAGATAAATTGTTTAGCTCTGTTTACGCGCGATGGAAAGTATATGCGTGAAATCCGTTTCTAAATGCGCGACCACGCAGGTTTATATAGATATTTATATGTTTAGTTTTATTTTTTATTATATCAGAAAGGAGATTTTTTTTTTTTGACGTATGCGCGGCATAGCGATCGCTCTCTTTACTGCAGCTAAAACTCGGTCAAGGCATTCGGGGTCAGTGTTACGGGGTATTTCAGGTTACAACGCATTTTTTTTTGTCAGGGATGTAGTAAAACGGCATGCCACCAACCTGAAGAAGGCCTGTCCGAGTATCGGGTGCAGTAGACCCAGGCTGGCCACAGCATGGGCTGCGACATGGATGGGTTCGAGCTGGCTTGGGAACTGTCTGAATCTGAGCTTAGGCACTGGTCTCCGTTCTCCCCACCGGGTTTTAGGGACTCATCTGCAGCTTTCGCGGGCTTCTTGGTGCTGGTGACAGTGTGTGGAGTGGAGGTCCCCTCCGCCGGCACCGTGCTGCCCACTGGTTCGGTCTGAGGGGCGGCGGGGCTGCCGCGGCTCTCCCGCGACGCCTGGATGCTCTCCTCTCGGTGCGCGCCCGCATCCTTCTTCCGTCCGAAGTCCGGTCGCAGGATGTTGTCGATGAAGAAATTGGTGACCCGATGCGGGATCTGCGGGTTCCCCGGCGCCTGTAACAGGGGCAGGATAGCTCTGTTGGATTCATCCGCTGAATCCTGCCGCTCCACCGCATCTCTATTGCCGTGATCATTTTCTTCCATACTGATTCACTTTCCCCCGCTTTACGCTCTTTAACCCCTTTGTCGCTCCCTCCACAGCAAGAAATTTTGAGAACTTTGAGGGAAATTACCCCCACCCCTAAAAAAAACTGTCCGGGTAAAATAAATAAATAAAAAAACTCAAATACCAGTGAGTGCCTTGGACACCACGCAAAGTCTTGCCGTAGTGCCCTTTGAGAAAAGCATAATTTAGCTCATATATTTCCTGAAAATCGGGTTATAAGTGATATCTCAGAGCGTAAGCGTTTGCCATTTGCGCACAAATCCAATTTATACCATCCGATTTATGCGTCCCAGGGAATGCCTACATCTAAACTAAACTAAGGGTAAATAAAGAGGCTCCTAAACTGATGCTCTAATACTCTCACTCTGGAGTTTTGTTCTTATTTTCAATGCGAGCCCCCCGAGTGACGTTCACCCACCGTCCTCCCAGACACGTGCCCCTGACCAATAGGAAGGTAGAAACCAGGCCACGTGACGCAGAATCCGGAGCGATCTACAAACGCCCCATCCTCGCCCTAGTAAAAGGGGAAGAGTCCCGAACGTGTACGAGGAGGAAAGCCTAATTTGAATCCGGTGCATGCACACAGATACACCCAGTTTTCGTGACATGTTTTTACTTTATTTTGCCACAGGAGTTTGAGAAAATGTGAGCTGGTTTGTGGGTAGAAAAACAAAAACAACGAGAGGATTGACGCGTTGGTTTGGGAAAAAAAAAAAAATAGTGAGCATGGAGGATCCCCAGGGTTCAACACTCCCAATAACACCAGAGGAAGTCAGATTTCAATGAGCTTAAATAAGCTCCAGCATATATTTGAATGAGGAAGTTTAATTATGATAACTTTTTGTGATGAAAAACAAAAATATTCATCAACTGATTAAATCCTGAAGATCTACCTAATAAAAATGCTACCAATAACCTATTTGGAGGGAAGTGCAGCATATTCTGATGAACAAGTGATTTGCTTTTTGTTGAATTTGGACCCTCTTTCAACAGTTTTGACACATTTAAGTTACCTTTACTTTTAAAAGGTATATGCTTTAAAAAGCGCGCTGAGGTTATGCGTAAAAAACTATATTTGGGGATGGAACAGACTTATTATTCTTTGCACATTACATTGAATTTACCAAATTATATAATTTAATGACTTTTTTTAAAATTTCCCTATAAAATAGCACGTGCTCACCCCATGATATGTAGTTTAGACGCTTCATAATCAGAGCGATGTGACCAAGAATTGATGTGCTATTAGATGCGTTCTCCTGTCGCGCAGCCTGCGGTGGCCCCAGAACTGGGTCCATATCCCTTTAAAAGAAATCAGTGATGCAAACAAACTGTTTTGTGCGCGCTGCTCGGGACCCGAAGTCGCGCCAAAGACAAAACTTTGAGTAACTTTGCTGACCACCTCCAAAGACGAGTTTTCTGAGGTTACTCCATCAGGCAGCGAGGACGGCGATTTGGATTCGGGTCTGTTCACACAAGGAGGGATCCACTGAAAGAGCGGCGTGGAGAGTGAGTGAGAAGCTGTGGGTCGCCTGAGTTAAAGCTCTGTTTTCTTTTTTCTTTATTAGTATCAGAAATGTATTTGTCAAATTTATTTATTTATCTATTTATTTTTTCAATCCAGAAGAGCATACCTAGATTTCCTTAAAGATAATCTCTTTTTGGATGCCCTGCTCGTCTACTTGTTTTAACAGATGTCTTGTTTTAATGTTCCCATAATAAGAATGCACTTCATTTTGAAGGCAACGTTCAAAGTTATTTTACATTTCATTTTTTTTTTTTTTTTTTGGCATATGAAACTACCCCCGTCACATTTTGGTTAGTGTTCAAGAAGGAAAAAAAATAATATTCTAAACCTCCACCTTTTTGAATGCGTCTTAGTATAAAGGTAAAGGATTTTGTTATTTCTGCTGCAGAAGCTAAATCTAGAATAATCACACGAAAAGGCCTAACCCACACATGCATCAATAGGTACTTTTTAAAGAATATTTTTAACTATTTATTCATTTTAAAGTTAAGAATGTACCATATCTTATTAAACCTAAACGGCTGGATTGTGAATCGTACCTGACCAACAGCCATCGCCTCTGCGCAGCCAGTCCAAACAGTAGAAAGTTGATAGTGAAAGGTGTAATTAGACAAGGCACACTCTCACGCTGCGATTGTTTCTCACTTGTGAGGGGAAGCTCAGATTAATGTTGAGCGCTAAATAAGCAGCAGACAATGGATCCACAGACAAGCCGCTACCGCCTGGGCTTGGCCTCTAACCTCCTCAGCAAAAAACAGGGGCGTCTGGAGGAAATGACACCATTGCAGACTCTGAATTAGAATCCAGGGGCCTTTTGTGCAACACAACATATTACATATTCTTCTACTAAACACCCCCACCCTCCCCAAAAGACGTAATATTCCTTAAGTTTGAAACATCTTCCCTCTATATTTATATTGTTTTCTAATTAAATCATGTTGTGTGTATTTTCCAGTGCAAAATGTCCAACCGCACTGATACAGAAAAACTTAAATGTAACAAATATTGCGTAAGTTTCACACATGTATTACACTGTAATGTCCAAATAGTATGTTTGTTATAATCAATTCTGTTTATATAACTGTATTTTTTCTGCTCTTAAGAAAAAAGGTCGTCTCATGTTTTAATAGGTTAAAACTATTTTCATTGTCTCTACTTTTCTGGTTGGTAGAGGGTCAAATTTGGGCTCCAGAAACTATATTTCTTTTATTTTACATTGCCGCCACTTAACAATTGAATATATATATACCATTTTCTCATTAGGATTTGGCTTCTGTTGGCTTTTTTTGGCTGTGTTTGGGGATGTGATCCTAACATCCCTTATATTTAGGATTTTTTTGTATTTTTTTCAAAATCTGCCTGTTCCATCGCTCCCCTTTCCTCTCCAGAAGGTTTTGAAATGTGCAAAACAGCTCTTATAATTTTCATTTCACGTAAATGCGTAATAAATAGTGAAATCGGGCGCAGGTTTTGCCTGTTTATTTATTTATTGTTTACAATTTTGACTAATAGTGATGAAATCCAGCGTGCGGAAACCATAGGCCTCGACGTCTGCAATCATTCCACATGTTGGCCGAATTAGACGCTTGAATTTCCGAATGGTGGCGTAAAAATCAAAGCCCTTCATCATATTTATTCATTTATTTATTGTAGTATAGAAATTACTTGCAAATATTCTACAGGAAAAACTTAGTTTTTCACTGTTTTTCGACAAACATGACCTCAAAGCTCTGTTTTTTTTTTTTTGTTGCAAAAATGGGAAACATTTGCTGTTATGTTTGTGCACCATATAAGTGTTTGTGTGTCTTTACCAAAGAATTTACATTCCCTGCCTCTTTTGAAGCCTAAACTTCTGTATCCATGCAGTGAATGTATACAGCACAATCCACTTATAGCTCCACTCCCCCTCCCTCTTCCTGTTTTACGCACGCGCGTGCACATATACCTTTTAACCCTCCCTGCGCCTTCGAATCAATCGCGCGCGTTGTGCGCATGTGCCCTGTCCTTGAGCTCCTATAACCTATTTTATCTCCCCCACCGCTCCCCCTCCTCCCCTGTATCTCTCCTGGTAGAATTGTAGTATACGTCAGTACTATGGAGTACTACACAAGGTGACGCGCAGGAGGAGGATTTGTGAATGGACGCCGTGATGTGTGCCAGCTCACTGATCAGAGGGCGGTGGGACCTTCTGCAGATGCGGCCCCAGCTCCCCCCCCCCCATCCCTCCTTCTTCCCGGTCATCATCCGTGCCTCCAGATGAATGGGGGTCCCCCCTAGATATCGGCTCTGTCACCATCGCAGGGGTCGCACCAAATCTTTCAGCACCCTTTCAAAAATCCTGAAAGCACTCTTCTATTTTAAGATCCTGTATGATTATTTCCCTATTTTACTTTTTTTTTTTTTACTCGGCCCCATGATTTGTATTTTTATTTCTATCGTGAGTTGCTCAGGAGGAGCGCAGTAGAATTAGTAAAGCTTAGAAACTCTATTTTAAAGGTTGATCCAAAAAAAAAAAAGTCAGTCGACAACTAACACAGACGTGTTTTAATTTGGAATCCACACCCGTGTTCCTATCAAAATAAGCAACATTTTACAGATAAGACAAGATCTGAGGGAGAAAGTAAAAACCCTAAAACATAAGGGGAAATTTGGTGCCCAAAATTAAAATATTACCTTAATAATCCCCTTTTTGGACTAAATGTTCTGATTTAAACGAATCATTTACCCCTTTGCACTGCAGGTAGATGATGTCTATATAATTTGTTTGTATTCTTTTTTTTTTCTTGCTGTGATTTGATTGTGAATACAGAACAATCCTCTGGACTTTGTTGCTGCTGAGTCTTCTGCTTTTAGCCCTTTATAGGTTTTAATAAGTCTTAATCCGTCTGATCGGTGTGGCGTAGATAAGTCTCATTTAAATTTGGATTGTTCTTTTTTTTCCCCGTCTTCTCTCTGCAGAAGCCTCAAACGGGGCTTAGTGCAAACAGCTACCACCCTGAGTGCAATTAAGGCCTAGGCTAAATTAGATGAAGCCTAATTGAATGCAGCTGAGTTCCCATCAGCAAACCCCTGAAACCTGCACGAGTGGAGGTACAAATTCCCGTCTGATGATCAATAATTGCTTATTTTAAGGCCAGAGTTCGTGTTCTGTGTGGGATGAACGCTTTTGAGGGCTTCACTTTTCTTTTGCATCGTTTTGGAAAGAAAAAAGTCAAATCTTTGTGAAAGTACAGCTGCAGTTCATTATTAAAGCCATTGTTTTACTCAGACCCCCTTTTTCAAAAGTATTAATAGGAATATTTGTTGTGATCACTTATAAACAAGACGGAATATGAGAAAAAGTTTATTTGAAGAAGAGATGTTAATCATTCTCAAGGTTTTAACCCACAGTTAAGCTTTAGGTGCAGTTTCATGTGTAACCTTCCTCAAAACGAACGTGTTAAAAAAAAGTAAAAGTCTGAACGGATCACTGATTATATAGTTTTGATAAATGAATTCAACAAAATAAAGATGATGCAGATAACAAAGAGGAGGAATAAACTAAAATTAAATAGCATAAAGCCTGATTGCAAAAAAACAACAACAACAACAAAAAAAAAAAACTATTGCATGTGGTAAATAGAAACTGAATTAGAAAATAGAAAATTAAAATCCTGGCGATTTTTAAGGTTCTAACTTATATTCATGAATAAAGCAAATATGCAGGTTGTTTGCATTAATTTCATCTTTGTTCTTTCTTACCACTTTCTTCTACAAGATCAAAGGCACAAAAGTTTGGGCTGTAGCCTATAGGTCGCCTGCAAATTTTCTAAACAGCAAAAAAA